ACTCAAATGCGCGGGATATATTCCAATAACTGCACCAAAACTAGGTTGAGAAGCCAGGCGATTCTGTCGATCGGGCCCCCTACACCTGAGATGATTGGTCTACTTTGAACTCTCGTGGTTTGTTTGATTTTAGTCCTGATGTGGGGGGGGGGGGGGGTTATGGTTTTGGTTAAGGTGTACAGGACGGGACAGGCGGGCAGATCATTTTTCAGACGTTTGATGATGCTTTTAGCTAACTCAATGGACCGAGCAGTTTCTTGCCACACCTTGTTCAGGCGGCGATATTGTCGTTTGAACTCATTGGGAGAAGATGGTACATACTAGTGTCTTCTAAATGAAATTCTGTTATTGCCTCATCTATACTGCTTGAGATAATGACAAAGTCCCCACTTTTATCACTAATAGAAATTCTGATCTCCCCAGCGTCACGTAAAGTACGGAGTTCTCGTAAGCCACTACGTTGCTCAGGAGTCAAGTTAAAAAGTGCGTTTTTGCGAAAACTAGAGAGAAGTGAGATCAATGATGTAGCAAAAACGCAAAATTTACCATCCATTGCATTATTTGGCTCTTGTGGTTTATAGTACAGCTTCGGAAAAGGTACGGAGGGTAAAGCTGTTGTGATTTTTCCAAACATTTTGCGCGTTCATCTTCTTTTGTTTTGTGCCGTAATCTCTCATATACAAATTGGAGATTGCCTAATTTTACGTGAAACTCGAGGCCCTGAATGTTGTGTTGGTGAAAAGCTTGGACCGAGATCCAAGAGTGAGTGCGCGTTATCGGAAATTACTATATCGCCAACAAGAGATAAACGTGGAGCGTTTAGCACATTTTCATAGCTTTCCTCAGTGCTGTCTTGTTTGTTGGACTTGAGGCTTTCAGCAGCTACTCGTAGACGGTGAGGTTGTTTTGCACTAATTAACTGCTCGAATTTTCGCTGGAGTCTGATCTTGGCACCAGAGCGAAGGCAAATTGACTTCGACTCACCCACTATTCTCTGCCAAAGATGTTTAGATATTAAACACAATACTCACAACACTGTTCCTTATGTTCACATTTCAACAGTAAACAATATATGTGGTTCCTCTTCGTTTGTAGGGCAGTGTGAAGAAGTCGTTGTTAAATTTCACGGACTTGTCGACAACCTTTGGTGAGTCCGCAAGTTTTGTGCAGTCGCTTCTTTGCAATAAAGCTTGGAATGACTGATTTTTGTTCGCAACGTGGGAGAAAGTGGATAGACTGTCTCTCCGAGACGATCTTCTGCCGCAGAGACAGTGCATCTTTCACATTTTTTTGCCGATTATGTTTATTTATAGTCTCTAAATCTCTAACTCTCTTCTCTATTTCTTCTCTTACTTCTTTAATTTTCGTCTCGTTCCCAATTCCTCTGCTGTCAATTTTCTTTTCGTTACTGTCGGCCGTCTCTACTTCTTTAATTCTCTTCTCTATTTCTTCTCTTACTTCTTTAATTTTCGCCTCGCCAGTTCCTCTGCTGTCAATTTTCTTTTCGTTACTGTCGGCCGTCTCTACTTGTTTAATTCTCTTCTCTATTTCTTCTCTTACTTTTTTAATTTTCGTCTCGCCAGTTCCTCTGCTGTCAATTTTCTTTTTGTTACTGTTGGCCGCCTCTACTTCTTTAATTCTCTTCTCTCTTTCTTTTCTTACTTCTTTAATTTTCGTCTCGCCAGTTCCTCTGCTGTCAATTTCCTTTTCGTTACCGTCGCGTCTCTACTTCTTCAATCCTCTTCTCTATTTCTTCTCTCTACTTCTTCAATCATAAACAATTCTTTTTAAGTCCAGCGCGAATAGCATGCTACCAATGCGCAATGACCGTAGCTGTTCGACCTTTTCTTGGGAAACGAATTGTATTCAATCGTATCCGGAAGAGAATTGCTTTCTAATATATTAGCCCGTAGTAAAGCTAATTCAGTTCAGGTGAACTGAACTGAGGCCCTCATCCAAGATTCGGTAAGGTAGACTGCCTATCACCAGCTTCCCATGTAGTAGGAATGAAAAATGAGATTTCAGCTGAACGTCCGTCTACCTGACGAGGTAGTCTACCTTACTTCAGTCAGTTCAAACTCAGTTAGACTACCAATTGATTTAAATAGTGTGTCAATGATGATACGCAGAGAAACTTCTCGTAAGTTACTCCTGAGTAACTTACGATAGATGTCAGTTTAACATGCCGGTGAGGAGCCACAGTGATGCTGACGATACCTAACAAGATCTAAGAAGTGCGGCCACATCCCCGCCGCTAGTGCCAATGACGTAGATGTGAATGTTTGGCAAACTCGTCTTGACTCGTATACTTGCATGGACGTGGCACTCTCAATCTTATCATCATGGGTAGTTGGCAATATCAATCAATAGCTCGAATGAAGGCAAGCTGACTCGTCGAAGCCTCAACTGAAATTTTATTCAGTTGAGATCGGATGAGGCAGCTTTACTACGGGCCATGGTCTGGTTACCAGCTCAGCAATGGTCTGCTGCTCTCCTGGTCGTTTTGGGATGGTGCCGCGTCTCTGTTCGAGCTGCAAAGGTTTGAAAATTCGGAAATGACAGCTCAAAAAACCTGGCACAAATACCTTGCAGCTTGCGTTCTCGGAATTATATCAAAATCTTCGACAATCTCTCCATCGGCAGTCACGTGCTCTGCTTTACGCTCACGGTTACTTCTGTTGTGATATATAAGATTTGCAATAAAAGAAAAAAATTATATGCCATTCTTCACTTCTAAGAAAATCTCTTTCACAAGTGCCAGAAAGATAACCAACTTCACATGCAAGATACAACGCTCTTTACCAATTAACTGTAGCCTTATACTGTTTTCCATCGTTCCATTCTACTTTGCATGTCCTCCTAACCGATGCTGTGGCTGTGATATCGGAGACGGGAATGACATCTGAGGTTGGATCCTCCGAGGATGCAAAAAAACGACTGCTTAGCGGCCCTCCATTAGCGTACTAGTTCTGCTCGTATGCAATCTGACTAGGTGAAAGTCAGTTTTCTCATAGCTCATTGAATAAAGTATTGATGAGCACGTTAGTCGGAGCATACTAAAAGAGAAAATAAAGAACATGTACGGTACTCTAACAGAACTAAAAGGCAGGCATTCCGTTCAGGCAGATCCGAGCTTATGGAAATCTCACTTGGAGGGTAATCTTGGTGCCTTAACTCAAATACTGATCCAAGCGGCAGCTCAAATGGTGAACTCACAATTGAGGTTCGACTCAGGGCCCGTCACAGATCGTCTGGAAGCAAGCTGGACTTCGTCTTTGAAGCAGAAAGCAAAGGAGATATCGTTTTAGTCGGGGAGAAGCACCAAGAATAAGTGCCATTTGATCGAACACAAGCTTTTCGGACAAGTTATCGCGCGATTGACATGCTCAATCGTGTATGGCGAAAAGTGCGCGCGGTTTGAAAGCAAGCCTGAAACAAATTGCTTGTTTACAGCGCACGCAGAAGATGACACCAAAATTGAATCATATACATAGAAAATTATTTGCAGAAGAATTATGCAAAAAGATCTAAAAACTTATGCGAAGTAATTCCTTTTCCAAAATTAGATCGTCTCCAGACGGCCACCAGACGATCTGAGGTCGTCTGGAGCATATACTTCTGTCACTTCACATAAGTTTCGGACTTTTCTGTCATGGATGGATTCCCCGGTCAAAAATCTATCCCTGAGCATGAAGATATTTTCATACAATTGCCTTTCCTTTGTTTTTTACCTTCATTTCTTCATAAACCGCTCTGTTAAATATCGCGCTCCGATGCCTTGTGCATGCGTAGTACTCAGCTCTAATTTGGATTTCACTCTTATTTTACGATTATTCTTTCGGACCAGTAAATATTTCTTGTTTTCATCTTCTCTTAAGCAGTTTGGTCAAAGGGAACTTCGTAAAACTTCCGAAAGTCAGGGGAGATTTTGTTTTCAGAAACCCTAGAAACCGACTCCTGCCGGGCCCTGATTCGACTCCGAAACGGACCCCGGGATCTTACTCGCATAATTTCGTGGCGCGACACATCAATCTCGCGCGAGGACCCACGCGTGTCACCCCATGAATCCATGCGAATACGATCCCGGGGTCGGGTTTGGAGGCGAAAATCTCAACTATGAGCTTACCATTTGAGCTGCCGCTTGGAATCTTAGTTAGGGCCCCAAAATTACTTTCCACATTAAAACCCCGTATGTCCAGATTTGCCTTGACGCTGCCTTCAAGCACAAGCGAGACACATATAACTACTGTCAGGGAGTACACTGGTTTGCACCACAAATTAGGGTCCCATCAGGCTTGCCTTAGGCGGCAGCAGGTACGGCGTAAACTACGTGCTACAATCGCAGGTGGAAGACGGGCGAGGGGGAGGGGCAGTGTAGCATGGCATGATCCTACGCGTGCATGTCACAGCCTTTGGTGTAGCCTTAGGAATCCCCAAAACAGAAGGAAACTACCGTCCTCCCCCGTATAGCGAGCGGAGCTTTGCTGACGTTTTTTAGCGGATGTGCGTGGCAGGTTTTAATAGCTAGAGATTGAAAAAAATCAATGCTTCAAATTTAACATGTTCAAATATCTGCAGGGCCACGCCCGCTATACTTTGGGAATCTCCTATATCAAGAACTGCATGCAAGAAAAATTTTGATTCAGGTTGTATTGATATGTACTGGTTTGATAAGTCGACTTCCGCAAATTCTTCGTAAAGCCGCTAGTCCTGAAGCAAATATTAAGCGGCACGATTGTGCAAGTATTAGGTTGTAAACAATGTTCCCGGGCACTTGCGAAATTTTTTTCGAACTGCTGTAACTCCAAGCAGATTGATCGTTTTTGAAAAGCTGCGAACTCTACTGCAAAGGCAATGTCACAAGTGCTCAGTTTGTTGGATTCTCAGCTCTTCATTTCGGGCCACGAGCATGCGCGGTAGGAGAAAAAGGTAGACTCAAAATCCGGCCTGTTAGTGCAGGTCAGGCACGAAGATACTTGGAGAGTTCATGTCCGATAGTTATGTGGAACTCTGGGGTGTATGGCGTTTCGCACGCTGGGCTACTGTCCTCTCGACTTTCGTTGCAGGACCAAGCTGTGAGCTCAGGCAACGCGGACGAGTTGTGCCCCCAACTGAACGGCGTCGGTGCGTCCTGCTGGAGATCATTCGTAGCGGCTGATAACTAGGGCACCCGTTTTCACACTCAATTTCACGTCATCAAAAAATTCATGTTATCTTCTTCGTTACAACCTAATCAAGGCATTGCATTCACTTGAGCGCATCCTTTGGTTTGCTTTTTCAATGCTACTTTAGTCTGCTTATTTGTTCCACTCTGTTCACTGCAGAGTCGTATCTTTCGGTACCCTTTTTCTTGTTTTCAAGCTATTCTTTTTCAGACAATTTCTCGTACGAGTCTCTACGCGCAACGAAATCGTTGATTAGTGGCAGAACTATTGACGTCACTATTGGAGGAAGGCGCTGTATGTAATGACGCAATGTCCTACGAGTCAACTCAGCTGTTGTTTGCTGTGGTTCCTTCCATGTTTCACTAGCAGCTAGAGGTCAGAAGTAGGAATACAGGTACTTCGTGGGTTCCTTTTTCTAGTCTAGTATAGAAATTGAGATTGTAAAATAGCTATTCGTCGTTTGTCCAATCGATAACTCAGTTTTGAGGCGAATGTCACAACGCTTCATCTTTGCTCATCATCTTCGTCATGATACGCGTGATTGCTTGTAATATGTAAATAGATATTCTCTGTTCAACACTCCTCATTCTTGTCAGAGTCACAAATGGTCCTTATGTTTATGCACATCGAATCTTTCGCCAATTTGCACTTTTTTATCAGTCATGTTTGGTTGTTGCCAGCTCGATCAACCCGAACAGCTCTTTTTTGTACATAGTGTATGATTTTTCTTTTTTAGAAAATAAAGTTTTATTTCTCCTTAAATCCTATAGTATCTTTATTGTTGAGCGAGAATTATCTATCTTTGATTTTAACTTAGGTCTGATTAATGATTAATTTAATTTTCACGTCCAGTAACTCTCACAGGTCCTCGTATTTGCATCTTTTTTGCCGCCGTGGCGCTCAACGCATCCCTCTATCTGCATCCAATCTGCATTCCCATATTCCCGCATCTGCATCTCCTTCAGCACCTCAATTTGAGTGAGTCCCTGTCTACCCCGCTCGCATTTCTCCATCTACCCCGCCTGCGTCTACTAGCTCTCCATCATCAAGCAATTCCATCGTTTTTTCAACTAATTCTTCTGCTGCTGCTTCCAGCAGTCGTGTAGCCCCTTCTCCTGCCCCTTCTTCCCCCGCACATCCCCCCTCATCCATTTCTTATGATCGGTATAGGGGTGAGTTTCAGGTGAGTAAATTCGGAAGAAACCCCGTTTTGACGTATAGAATTCCAGGTGGAAGCCGCTGTTACACGTTTCACTTGCATCGCCAGAGAGATCGTGTAAGGTATATAAGTGCACATCATGTGATAGGCTGGGACGATACGTCCCTGTGAAGGTAGGATTAATCTGCCCATATACCATTTCCGTAGCAGGCACTGTAGGTAATTGGCGATTGCTTCATGGAGGACCCTGTAATGCTAAGGCATTGTTGTCTACCAAAGAAATTCATGGTCAATGTCGTACAAAGAATAATTTTTGAAAAAATGCAAGAAATACGGAGAGACTCTAGATATGCAGATGTTCGGGCCAGAAGAGTTTGGCAGGATTTGTTGGAGGAGATCCCTGAAATGCCCCACATTAGTCAGTTTTTGAATGCTCCCCAAAGGACATATGGTTCCAATACAGATTTAGGCGCGGAAGAGCTCCTTGAAATCGTCGACGAATATCATGCTGAGGGCTACGCAAGGCGTAGACGTACGATCGCACGGTCAGTTTTGCTTGCACTGTGCACCCGGAGATATTCGTATTGTAAGAATATTGAAGTACATCAGAAGCCCTTGCTTGATCTTGATAACTTACCGGAAAGTATGAGAAATTTACCAGATGGAACCCCCTTCCTTCAGTACAGGACAACCGGCTTTTACGTGTTTTTTTTCTAGGACGACGGTCGAGGTTACTTTTACACTCACCCAGCCACCTTTTTTTCTTGCAACGCATAGTTTTTAGAAAGCAGTCGAAAATGGCCTTACGGCAATAGTCGCCGATGGAGTTCATAAGTTACCACCCGATGTTTTGGGGGAGAATGCTCAACTATATACTCTACATGCAGTATGTAATGCAGGAATTGGTGAGAGTGTTGGGTGGCACCTTGTTTTGGGGTATAAAGTCTACTTACATATATCCCTATGATACATGTTCTTACGAAGAGGAAAAACCAGAATACATACGAAAAGATTTTTGAACTTTTGAAGCAAGAACTTTCATTGGCAGGGCACGATTGTCGACGTATCCGTATAATCATAGATTTCGACCTGCTCTATACAGACTTCCAGTTCCACGCAGTCATCCTGCTTTTTCAAAGTGTGCCAGCTTCTTGCCAGCTTCTTCTTCTATCTGAAAGATAAATGGTATTGCGGCCCGTTCAAGTCCCTGTGGCAGAAATGGGACAAACGCGATCTCCGAACGTCGAATATTGCGGAGTCATATCATAGGCGCGAAACTAGAGTAAAAACTTTATATTCTGTTCGACCGATTTCAGAGTTCTTCGCGTACTGATTCCGGAGCGACACGCCTCGGTTCGTAGAACATTAACTTGCATACGCGGGGCCGATGTCAGGGCCATGGCAACATTGCGCAACTTGGAGAGAGAGAGTTGGACTGACTTTGAGCTGATATAATTGCAACTTCACTTATTTAGGGCATTTTCCGTAAGTTACGAAGGAAAGATGACCGGAGACGAAGAAAAATTGACAGTTTAATGGATGAGTAGCGACCATTGCTCTTGGCGCCATGTCCTTCAACAGCTACCATAGTGCATTATTGCAAAAAGATGTCACGCTTTGTTTCTGAGAAAGTCTTGTAAGATTTTTCTTGTTCTTTACGCTTTTCCTCATGATGTAAGAACGCCTTTTCTTTTCCCATCTGACTTTCACGTACACGTTTATTCGGGTTGTTGATTTTCACTTTTGAGTACGTAGATCTTTGTCTTCATCTTTCATTTGCTCTTAACATCTCAGTGTTTGCCTTTCGTTGTATCCTTCCGCATTCAAGTCGTTTTGCCTTCATTCCTCCTGCTAAATTGCCTTATGTTGCAATAGCGTATTTGAACAGAATTGTGTATCAAATTTGATCTGATTTCCTTATTGATCATCATGCCTGTATCATGCAATCCATCATCAGTTCTGCAATAACGTAAATTTGTGTTTGCTCCCTTTTCCATTCTATCAATTCTCTCTATTCGGTTAGACCAATCAACTCCATTTGTGAGATCGTTGAGCACATAGTGCGATGTCGTAAAACGATAGTTTCGTTCAGTAAAAAATCACTCAGCCAAAATTGTTTGAAAGATAATGTTAATCATTGTTGATTCCTGATAGACGTATTTTTGACTTTTTTTTTCAACGAAACCTCCATCGGTCACAGAGGAATGCGTTGACACAGCGTTGTGTTTTGCGGTAAAGGTCTCAGCTTATTAGGTCACTCCTGCTTAAAGGAATGAGTTCACACCTCCAGTTGTAACAGACATTTACAGCTCAAAAAGCCTCCTCCAGGTGCTCACTTGCACTGCTGTCCTTACAGACTTTTCGCTAAATCTACACTGTTTGTGAACATACTTGGAATTCAGACTGAGTCTAATGCCGCAACTCATCGCTTTTGTGCAGAAAATCTTTCGATGCATACAATCAGCCGCCAAATAAGACTGTAGCCTTTTGTACGATCATAATTCAATTTCGCCGCCTTCCGAACGCGCCCCTCTCTTCGGAACAATTTTCTCATTCAGGAGTAGTAAAACAACACTCGGGTAAGTTTGCCTACGAGGTCTGCTACTAAAGTCTGCAGATTGTAGTCTCAGGCTGCTTTCAGATGTACATGTAGTGTATTCGCAATTGAAAGTTCTTTGAAACGATAACAACGAAACGTTTATGACGCTCAACATTCACAGACAGTGAAAGGAGGACAATCGAGACGAAAGGAGGCCTTTCAAAAATAATTCGACGAGGTTAACAGAGTCACATGGTCAGATACGCAGAAAGCACAGAAAATGAATGCCATATATATATTAACAAACCTACAATAAGAACACGCAGGGGAGCACCTAAGAGAAGTTCTGTAAGAACTGTAAAACATCATCGTATGTCAATATAGTGAAATGGAAACGGTGAGAAAATCTTTTGGTATAGTATGAAGTTATACAACAATATTACAATTTACAAAATTGCAAATTTCAGCTTTCAAACATCAAACTTTCAAACTCAAAAACTCGTATTCGATATTGATTAGACAAGTCCGATTATGCACACAGTGCCACAAACGAATCCATGTACAGTGCTATTCGAACATAACAAGATGACAGGGATAGTTTATAATGCATGCAATTTACGGTACGTATGCATTTCTAACAAGCTGTCCGGCACAGGCTTCGAAAAGAAGCTTACCGTTTTAATTAGATGAAAAAACAACGTAGAAACACGGTTTGATCAGATGGTCGCAAAAATCGCTTAATACAACAAGGAAACAAGCAAAAAACATAGAGAGGTACCGATCAGCTCCTCCACTGAGGCTGATATTTAGCCAACGTAGAGTTCGACATGAAGCGGCACCAACTTAGATCCATTTCGTTCATCGCGTAGCTCATTGGGGCAATCATAACCGCAGTCGCAATCTGGGGAAGTCAAAGACTAGCAAAACATCTATGAGAAAACCGTGAAATGCTAGCAATCTTGGAATGGAAAGCGGAAAACTACTGTAAGCTCAGCAAAACACAACAATAAAAGACTCACCACGGATAGCAACGCCAGCCACATCCAGAATCGCATGAAGCCTAACCGACAGCACAGATGCCATTGTAAGCAATAAACCCACATGACGTTAGTCCAGAACATACTAACGTCAATAAATGTAGTAACTTTGAAAAAAAGTTAATCAGAACAAACCAGCACGGATAAGCTTAGAGCGGGACACCTGAACAGAACAGTAGTAACAGCTCGTAGTGATCGTAGGCAAGCTAGCCTGACCTGAGATACTTGAACGCTGGTATGAACGTTTTCCTGATATTTCCAACCAGAACGCGAATGATGCCATCATTCTCAAAATGTAAGAACAACTCGATTGAATCAGCGATCTTCTTGCGCTTGAATTTCGCAAAATGATCTAGGTTCGGAAGTTCGAAAACTTACTTCCGTTCCCTTCCAGCTGCTTCACGCAACTCTTCACGAAGACGCCGTCGGACTTTCTGCGTCAAAGCTTTCCGATCTCGTTTGGCTCGTCTTTCCAACTTTTTCTCATCATAGACGTCATAAGTGTTAGTAAAATTTGGTGACAAGACGTCCAAAGCTATATAGAAAAATGTATAGGAGGAAACCCAGAAAATTTTTGAAAAACATGAAAATTACATACCTGCTGGATCGGCTACATTTTTGTCCTCATTATCCGCTTTCAAGGGATTAGGATTCATTTGAAGAATGCGTCCCCATGCACTAGTCTAGACAAATACATATATGATTAGTAACAGTGAGAAACTACGTGTTATTTTTTGCTTAGATAAAAAATAAAAATTGTCTGCAGATCTATGGCAAAAGAAGCGTAGTAGTGAAGCAACGACCAACTTAAATTCTCGTTGACTTAAGACTTTCTTCACAAAACTAATGCTGGTCCAAGGCAGTGCACAGGCATTGCAACTCTAACTCTTCAGAACATGCTATATGACACTCTAACTAAAAAAAAACAAAGATAATGAGACAGTTCCTACATAAAGGCGGAAAACCCGCCGAAGGCCCGCAACCCAAAGGGGCACATGTGAGGTAATGCTCCAATCCGTTAATCGCGAACGTATGCTGGAGGTTCCTGCAAGAAATTTTCATATTTACTCTCAATATTTCTGTAACGTGCTGCTACTGCTCGGCTCCCATGCCAAGCTGAAACAAAGGAACGAGTCAATCTCGTTGAAGCAACTCAAAATAAAATCAACACCTGAATGACAAATGAGTCATACACTGTATTATCAGAAGGGGTTCAACGCAACTTGCTTGAAGACAAGACAAACCGAAAGTGCAAAACCCAAAGTTGGAAATGCCTGAGCACTGCCTTCAAAATTTGCTCAAACCTTGGATTCATCACTATCGCTTCTTGTAATAGGTGGGCGAACGGGAACTGTATCCTTGAATGTGACTCTAAATGTAACTTATCGCTGGATCTTCTATAGCTTTGCGCTGTTTTCGCCGCAAAATCCTGAAATAACGAAAGTTTGACACAACACCGCTCTGAATTCGCAGCTGACGTTTGATCGATTGATTGCAAGCGTGCCCCACTGCTAATTTGGCTAGTAGCCAAAGACAACGTTCAAACGACCAACTCGTCCAGTTTGCCTGAGCTTACCCTGAGGCTCCCGGAGCGAACATTGCTGTCCGTGCGAATCGACCGTCTCCCGGAACTCTGCTAGGGCTATTTATAGACTGTGTCGTAAATTTGAAGCGCAGTCTGTGAAAAAATTTCCTTCGAAAAAATCAAAAAATCGGCCATTTTTGCACTTCAAAAATGCTCCAGCTTTTCAGTAAATAGGTCTGAAGTCTTCCTTTTTTTATTCACGGAATGAATAAAATCTTTGATGCAAATATTGTTGGCTAATGTCTTGCATATCTTTTGCGACCCATCATCGAGGAGTGACGATCCTCACAAAATCGACACCGATTGCGAAAACAGGTACGGTCAAAGGCAAGTTTAAGAGCTTGTAATTTTTGTGCGTGTTATGTAAAATCCGAGCATACTGCAGCATTTAAGTGGAAAGCTTCCTTATTCAGAGTGAACAACTCTTAAATGGTTCTCCTTGTTCACTGCGAAATTATGGCAGTAAAATCAAAAATTGTGAATTTTTCATCGTTGCACAGACTTTTTTTGGTGTGTAGGTGAAATAATGTTTGACATCTATGAAAACTGGATGCGAGTCTGAAAAGCTTAGGCTTCTTTCATACAGAACCATATAGATATTTGTCGTTATAATTCAAACGAGTGCGAAAAAAATGAGTCTGAAAATGAAATTTCCAAAACTACCCGGGAGTATTCTTAAAGGCAGTGGGTTGGCAAAACTCAACAACTCAGGATTTCAACGCGGTGGGTTCCTTACCGCCCAAGTTTGAGAACAGTGCAATCCCGGTTGCAGGAATGCCTTCCCTGCCGAGAAAATTGCTCTCAAACTTAAACGCGCAGACTAATCTTAACGCATTCCGGATGAGTTGGCAAATTCCTTTTCACCATTGGAGGCTGCCCGCCGCAATGCCATAACCATTGGGTCCTGCAACGATTCAGCGTCATCAGCCTTGCTTCACTCGTCCAATTCCAAAAAGAAGGGCATTGAAAAACGCTTGTTTTCGCCGTTTTCAAGCTCTAAAAAGTGCATTTTCGGGATCAGCGTATCGAATAACCCTAGGTAAGCGAAAATTCCACTACAGTTTGCCCCAATCCTAACCAGGCCAAAATTGGCATGGCGGGAGTCCGCGTCGCTGGGGTTTCGCGGTCACGCCCACGACCTGCTCTCTGCTCTCTCTTCAATCCTTGTGCTCTCTCCGACAGCGCGCATATGCAGCGCAGACCGCTAGCGCTGCGAGCGTGCAAATCTACGCCGACGATTCGGCCTGATCCCGATTGGAGCAGACTGTAGGTTGAGATTTGCCGAGCCACTGCCTTTAACAACCTAATACGATGACGAAATCCAGTTTCATCACTTTACTGAGGATCTATCGTCTTTTCCTCAGTTGGTGCTACTCTTCTCTGCGGCGTCTGACCCGGCACGTATGGCTAACATGTTGGCAACGTGCAACAACATGTTTGCAGAACATCAGCCTCAGCGCCAACATGTTGACCAGCGTGCCGCAGGTCAGAGACGTTAATCATAGGTATCGTCATTGCCATCCACTCCACTTTCATTTCCACTTCGTAGAATAGCTTTATGCTTCACAATACACTTTATAACGCATTTTAGTTTCTCGAATCTATACCTTTTCAAGTATGCCTATGCCACTGTTGGATCACATCAACTTAATTATGAAACTCTGAGAGAAGGAAGATCGATGGCTTATATTTTCCGCGAAGAAGAAAGTAAACCTCACTTTTTCATATGTAAATCTTCAACGAAATTCAAAAATATTGCAAAAAGATCCTCATGCCCAGCGCTGCAAGTTGAAATACTTTATCAGAAGATGGCATTCATCATCACCATTGGAAGGGAGACGTTACAGACCGAGAGCCTTAGCTCGTAAATTTGCAACTGATGTTTTATAACAAATTACAGTTTCCCGACTTTTTACCGCACATAGAGAAAAAACTATCTTGATGTTGGAATGATAAAGTTAATACAATTTGTTTCAGCCATCGAAAAAATATGGAATGAAGTTAGGAGCTCTTACGCCGCTGATAGTTCCCCCTATTCCGAAAATAAAAACCTGCCTGATGAATCTACGCAATATCACAGCGAGCGATACCCAACTCAGATACTTCCGCCAACTACTTGCATTCTCAAAAACTGGTGTCCAGTACTGTCAAATGATTGAAGAGCAAAATAAATTCAAGAGACAAGAATTTGCTACTTCTATTTAACGCATAGAAGTGGGCACTACCGATCCATCAGTGTTAGTGCTAGAGGCGATATATGGAAATACACTACAATCGAGAACATCGTCGTGTGTGCGCAGTAGTAGAAAAGACTATGGGTTGGGAAAAGCGCTTTTCATCCTCTCCACTAGAATGTGAGTCTTACCCGAATTTGCTTGCTGCTGCAGTGCTCCACAACAATGAATAATGCGTGGGAAAGACGAAGTGGCCTCGTCTTGGACATATATTGGCTACTATGTCACGTCCACCAGGCAAGGTCCAAGACCTTCGCGACTATGTTTTGAGAAGACTTTGAAAGGAAAGGAATACTTAACTCTCACACGCTTGTTGTTGAACTACCGATTTCAAAAAATCGTCAAAATAAAAGAAACGAGGAGAATTTTCTCGTACAAATCTAAGTTCCTCTACAGTTGTTAATTTACCTGCAGTTCTTGCTTCTTCTTAGAGTCTTCTCAAATGAATACAAAGTTATTATCCGAGAGAAAGTTTTTCAAGGCATCGGACGCACAACCATGCATGCAGAAAGCACCGCCTTTAAGGGTGACTGTTCTACATCGGAACTTGGAAAATACCTTAGAAACGAAGATTAGGGAGGCTTAGAAATATGTAGACATGTAAAGAAGAAATGAAAGATGTGTTGATGCTAATTATTTGACTGTGCAAGCAACTGGGGTTCATTCTTTACTGACTTACCAATGAAGGAGGCCACTGCTACTGTCTACTATTCGACAACAACCCCACCCCACCCTACCTCCCATCTAAGCAGAGGATAAAGGTACACGCGCCTTTTGTATTTCATAATTTATAATCATTTATATATTGTAATCAAAGGCCTGATGATGTATATAGTTGAAACCTTGCCGTTGCCAATAAACTATTGATCAAGAGCTCTCAACTCCGCACTAATTGCACCAGAATTCAGCATGAAGCTCAGAAATAACACTAAAGGATATTCGTCGACGACTGCCCCGACTCGTGCATTTACACCACCTTGGGCATGCCTTATTGGGGCCTTTTCAGCTTGACAGTACGCTGCAGTGCCCGGGGACTTGGTAGCTTGCAACATCCCTGTCCTTTCCCTGTCCTGTCCTCTCCTGCTGTCAAGCTGGAAAGGCTCCTAGAAAGCATTTCCACGGTGATGTAATTGCACCAGTTGGGGCAGTCGTCGACGAATGTCCTTTATAAATCAACAAAGTTTCAAACAGCTGCAGCTTAGGCGTCAGCGCAATATCGAATATTTTAAATTTTCCTCGAGATTGCCTTCCGTATGTCTTTTCTGTGCTCGTTTGCACCTAAGAAACGCACTTTGACCGCGCAGAAGTATATTCTCATTTTTGAGCGTTGAGTTGCGCAGAAGTGTATTTTCATACTTGAACAAGTTGACAATGAAATTCAGCCCTGCTGTGTTTAGAAGTGTTGCCCTTTTTAGCGATCTTGATATTACATCCACTTTTACAGTCTAATTTGGTTTGAAATGTGAAAAAAATATCGGACCTTATAGAAAGCCACAACGAGGTGCGAATAACGTTTCACACATACTATTGGCTCCTAGACTTGTAAAAAGTCTAGTATTAGGGGTGTCAGGAACTTTGATTAGCTTGATAGATTTGTTGAACTTCCGCGTTCATGTACTGCTTTTCAAGTTTCCTCCTCGTCAAATTCGCAAACCTTTTAGAAGCCTGTCTCTGCTTCTATACGATTCTGTTGAGCGTAACTCCAGTAGATATAACCCACAATAGGTCACGTTCATTCAGCATCGAAAACAAAACAGGATGATTTTTTGACCTCACTACGATCTTTTGCGCGTGGGCATGGTTTTAAACTAACACACTATTGTTTCAAACGAAAAATTCGTCAGGGGTTCTTCATTTCTGAACATTGATTTGGAGGTTTCACGTCTGCGTCCAAAATAAAGTGCTATTTCTTCCATCACTTCAACTGATAGCAAAATGATTATCTTGCCCGGTGAATACTTCTCAGTTTCGTTTGAAACAAAGCAATCATGGAACAATCATGGTAGTATGCTGCTTATTGCTTGTTTCATGCATTTTGACCACCGAATTAAGTGAGAGGTCGGCAGAGGATGATTATGGTTACCACTATGTAACTATGAGTGAACAATAACAATCTTTATGATGTTTTTGACCAAATTACTATCGTCCATTTCCCACGGTATAGCGGCCGGAGCTTTGCCGACGTTTGCCAACGTATGCGCGTGGCAGTTTTTGATAGCTAGAGAGTACGAAATAACCCTTTAGAATGGAGGTTTAGCAATTTTATTTAACGTGTTCGAATGTCTGCAGGGCCACGCCCGCTATAAGCATGAGAATCGCCTAAACCACTCTAGCAAGGTTGCTGCCAGTAAATGACCCCTCATGAAATCTGCAAACTATGTGGTGGCAGCAGGACTTTTGGAGTATGTAAGTACCCTCACCCGGCATCGGTTCGGTCGGTAGTTCCTTCTTGACCTACAGGTAGCAGCGTTTCTTTGTTGTGCCCTGAGGCACAAAAATCAGCGGCATCTTGTCGTGGGAACTGACGCCGGCCAGACCGTTACAGAAGCCGAATAAGTTTACCTTCCACGGAACGGCATTTGCTATCAGCTTTTTCCAGCGATTGATGAAGCCTTTGATTTGGCGATCAGAAACCTGCTCCACGTAATAATTTTTATATCACAAAAGAGTATGGCTTTGTGTGGTGCCTTGGAGAAGCGCTTAAGCAAACGACGGCACCCGTGAAGTCGGTCTTGCGACTGATGGACAGCTCTGACGCCAGCTCAGAAAACTCCTTTGCG